ATTTAGAGTTTCCCCCCCCGGTTTAACTACTTAGGACAGCTTGACTTAAAGCCAACAAAATCCTCTTAGTTCCTGGAGGGAGCACGTGCGGGGTGGAAGATGAACACGGCTGCCAGCAGCTACCCCATGGCGTCGCTGTACGTGGGGGACCTGCACCCCGATGTCACCGAGGCCATGCTCTACGAGAAGTTCAGCCCCGCTGGGCCCGTCCTCTCCATCCGGGTCTGCCGGGACATGATCACCCGCCGCTCCCTGGGCTACGCCTACGTCAACTTCCAGCAGCCAGCAGACGGTAAGTGACGTTTGTAACCACATCTACGGCCTCTGCCGTCACTTTTCTTCCCTCTTTTCCACTAATCCACGCTGCTGTTGGGGTACTGCCGTGAGCTCCCACCACAGTGTGACAGGTGAGTGACTGAAGGTGGGACATGCTGCACTGCCTGGTGGCTGACCTCTCTGCAGGTGCACGCGTTGGCGCCGTCTCTGACACACAGACCTTCTCTTGCCGATACTCTGCTTCGGACACGGGTCTGTTCCAGCTCTCACCGGAGAATAATCTCCACTGTGTTCCCCTGTGTTGTTGCGTGGGTCCGGGCCGTCTGGGGGGTCTCTGCAGTTGGTCCTGTCAGAGGAAATCCAGCGCCATCAGCCCGGGTTGAACGCTCCTTTGACTGGCTGAGCCTCCGGCTGCCCGCTCGCTCCAGTTTAGAGTTTGGGAGAGCTGGTGGGCTGCAGGTTGCTGTGTCTGTGCATGCAGCTGGGTGTCTCCCGGTCTGGGAAGTGCTATCCATGTATAGTGGGAAAGAAGCAGCACTGTTCAGTGCATGGGAATCCGGGTTGTCTCACACGCAGGAGCCACGTTGGTTTGCGCTCGCTAGGCTTTAACACTGGTTTTTATACTTGAGTTTGGCTCCTGCTCAAGTAGCAGCAGCAGCATGTGAAAGATGGGCCAGGAGAGGTCGTTTTGGAATGTACCTTTTCCGGAGGAAAAGCGGGTCAGCGCTTTCTGCCCTGGCTTTCAGAGCCTGTGCTTGTTGCCTGGTGCCAGGTTACTGCTCTGGGCTGTGATTCAGCCATGTCTTTATGCGATAGAGATGCCCAAAGGGTAGGTGGGAGTGAGCTCTTCCCTTGAGTTCAGAATCGGTTCACAGCAGCAGCAATAAACTTCCTTTCGTGCATTATCCTGCTTCCCACTTCTGCGGACTGCAGCGTGGCCTGTTGCACAGGGTGATAGATTGACTTCGGATCAAGGTGTTGTGTGGAAAACAAAACTCGTTGCAGGATTGTATTCCCAGAGCCTCTGGGACTGAGCTGGAGCGTTTGGGCTTTACGTCGCCAGCTGTGACCATGTGCCATCCTCTGCCAGGTCCAGGTACTTCCTGCATGTCCTTTCCTTGGGATGCTGACTGATCCAATTGAACACTTCTGATCCTTTCTTTTTTAGATGGATAAAAAGCTGGCTTGCACCCCAGGGCATAAACCTCTTGTTCAAGGAACTCTCACGGGGGCTGTTTATGCAGCCAAGTGACACATCTGTCTTAAAACTTCCCAGTGAGAAGGGAAGAACTGGGGAGCCTGTACTTGTGGCCCTCTCCTGCTCTGATGGACCTGCCTGCTCCAACTCCCTCTCCTAAAACCCCTCGGGTGCAGCACCCAAACGTAAAAGCAAAGGTGCAGCTGCCCAGGTTCCCCTGCCTTTGTCTGGGCTATGATCTCGTGGTTTGGGGTAAGAGAAGTAGAAACAAGCAGCAGAAACGAAGCCACGAAGGACCTTGGGGCTCGGGTTAGATGAATGTTGGGGCGATGGGGTACAAAAGCGTAAACCCCTCGTGAAGTAGAGAAGGGCTGTGTGGTAGGAGCAGTTACCGTGCTGAAAGGGAAGAGC